GTATTAAAAAAGGAAAAAATATGCTGGTCGCGAATGTGTTAATATAATTATTTGCAAAATTCTAATCTTTTTTTTCTATTCATTTTATTTACGAAATACTTTTTATGAGCAACTCGATGGAATAAGATGAAAAAATAAAAAGTAAGAAAGAGATAGAGGAAAAAAAAACAAGTGAAAACAATTTTTCTTTCTGTACAATTTAGATAGTAGAAAATTTTTCAATTTTTTTTGTTTTGTTTTCATTTATATTTTTATTTTTATTTTTCTCGTTTAATCAGAAAACAACAGAAAATGCATCGTATACGTTTACGCATATCAACACCTACGTAATCTTATTTATATTTTCGTATAGAGTAAGTATGTAAATTATTATCCTGGTAAGTATACCACCACAACCACCATTTTGATCTAAACTTTATAGTATAAAGTTGGAAAGAGTTTTTTTAACAGCTAGCTAGCTATTTTCTCGTGAAAGTTTTCTTCGAAGAGCAACAGCGGTCATCCAATTCCGTTAAAAACACAGCTTTGCCTTTTTCCTGAGTGATAAGAAGAAAGACAGAGAAAAAGAGTGAAAGGGATGGGAAGGAGAGGGTTGGTTGTGGGTAAGGTGAGGAAAAAAGGAAGAAAATTCAGGTCGAGGTCTGGTACTATTCATTTTATTGTATTTTTCAGTTCGGTATCTTAATTGAACGCGTATATATATACACACATACAGATACATACAAAAACAGAACACGAATTTTTACTCGATAAATGTCTCATTTTTATTTTTCTTATTTTTTGTTTCTTATTTTTTTGAGAATAAATGTCGCAATTTTGATTGAACAGGTGTTAAATATTTTTATTTCTTAATTGTATACTCGTGTTCACGTAAAAGTGGATTCTAAATAAATTGTAAAGGCAAACCGTAAATTCGAGTATAGTAAAAAGGTAAAGAGAAAAAAAAAAGGAAAAAAATAAAACTGTATGTAACACTGTATGAAAGAAAAAAAATGAAGAGTTGAAAGTACATTGTAATATTTATTGTAGAAACTTTCAAGAATATATAGAAATATATTGTTTAGAAAAAAATTAGTTAATAAAATACAATTTTAAAACATTTGATTTGAAATTGATCAATGTACCAATACTTTTTACACTTACTGTTTATCTATCCATTTATTTCTTTTTCTTGTATAAATAGTATATATGTTTCTTCGTGATCGATAATTTAAGATTTTTCTATATGTTTTGCAAGTAAAATATATATATGTATGTATATATGTATGTATATATGTATGTATATATATTCCTTTTTAGAAAAAGATATAAATGATATATATATATATTTATATAGAAAGAGAGAACAAAGAGAATTATTATATATGGTATTGTCTGTTATCAGAGAAAACCAACGAACCATGATAAAAAAGCGTGTACCTCGGTCAAAGGTAAATTTTTACTGTATAAATCGCTTGACTTCTTTTCTTACATCAAAATTTAACAAGAGAATGGTGAGTTTATAGATATATGCAAGAGAAACTACCTACATATGTATTAATATATAAATATTTACTTATGTATATGTATTTTTATACTCTATTGACCTTTTTATATATTAAATTTTTATTATTATTATCGAAGTTTTTAAATTATAATATATTATAATAATATAATTTCTTTTAATCATAAGATATATATATATATATATATATATATATAAAATAGTTTTTTTTTAAATATATATATTTTAATAATTTTATTATATTATATAAATTATAATAATAATGTTTTGAAAAAAAATGTAATGAAAAATTGTTGTAATTATGAATAAAAAAGGATAGCTCATTTGTTATATGTTAAATTATATATATGTAAATTAAATGTTACAGTAATTGCCACGTGTCCTCGTTATCCACGTTGCAAAAAAAAACCAAAATAAAATCCTATTCCTAGAAATAAATTATCAACGAACGGGAATCAAGTATTTTAATCATATCGATTGAAAAGAAAAGTAAAGAAAGAAAATATAAAACAATTTGTTAATTATTACAGTTGATCGTAATATAGAACATTTGGTTTCGGTCAGATTTACTTTATTGGTTCTAATTAAACATGGGCGTAGTTCAATAAATGGGTCAACCATGTTTCAATTAATTATTATTATTATTTTAACTAATAAACGTATACTCTTAGAAGAAAATTAAAAAATATTAGCATTCGTAATAAAAGAAAAAAAGGAAAAAAAAAACAGAGATTTTTCTTGAATAAAAAATTTGTTTCTGTAATATATTGTTTCGATGTTAATTTAACGTTAACGAATAATATAATACACGTAATTAAATATCTTCCAATAATTATAAAAGAAAAATCTTCTTTTTTCGAAATCGTTTACAAAAAAAAAAAGAAAATAAAAAGACGAAAAAAAAAATTAAAAAAACGCGTAAGAATTCAAATACTTTTTTCTTATTTATAAAAAAAAAAACAAGAAACAAGTTTGTATTTTGTGATTAACCATTTAACATTCATCTAAAAAGTAAAAGAAAAATTTTGTTTGTTTTTATTTCTTATCTGAAAAAAAATAAAATAAAGAAAACAAGTAAGAATACTTTGCTCATTTGTAAAAAAAAAAAAAAAAACGAACAAAAGTTTGTATTTTGTAATTAATCAATTAATATTCGTTAAGAAAATAGAAGAAAGCATTTACCTATAAACATTTTAGTTTGAACGTAAATACATTCTCTAGAATCATCACAGAAATACATCTAGTATCTATTATTAGAAACTATTGCACTTCTACTTTAAGTTTGTAGTTGCTTATATATATGCAAATTAGCGTACGCGTAAGACAGTTGTAACGTGTTTACGGTAGAAAATACTAAAACCACCCTATGAAAACCAACAACAAGAACTATAATGGAAAATTGTCCTTTTTTTCTTCTTTATTTTTTTTTTTTTACTTTTTTATCGTTTTACGTAAGTTTACGACGTAGTTTTCTAAGAACCTTTTGATAATAAATGATATCTTCAAGTTCACGATAGTTTACGTTTTACGAGTACTTTTAAACTATAAAAATCTCATGTAAATTTAGGAAAAAAATCTTTTAACCAGACCCTAAACTAACCTAACTCAAACCATCAATTTAAACGATTATTTATCCATTTACAAAGAAAAAAATAATCGTCATAAATTTTGCTTAGGTGGATATTTAATATTTGAATTTTTTGACCAATCATTGTTATAATCATTTTTTTTTTTTTTAACAGTTTTACACCACTTTTTTTACAAACACTATTAAGATATTTAATATTTGATGAGAAATTTATAGATAAAGTTTCGTAATTATAGAACGTTATTTGATATTTAATTAATTTTATTTTTGCATTTTCGTGAACATTTGTTAATATAAAAATACTAAAAAACTGTAAACGTGATTCTATGATTATTTATTATTAGATATCTATTTTTATATTTATATTTATTATAAAATTATATTTTTTTATATTTTATTATATAATTATGATTTTTTAATATCACCTAACTCAAAAATATAGATTATTTAAAAAAAAAAACTTTTCAAGAGATAGAAAATATTTCTATTAAATTTACGTATATTTATTTACAGTTGTGAGAAATAAAAATTAGGAAAAAATAAAAATGTTAGAAAATAATAAAATGTAATTTACATCGTGATAAATGTTAAATACATTTTTAAACATGTCTTCGATGTAATTTACAAGCTGTAAAAAAAAATTAGTAAAAAATCATACCTAACATCTATTAAAACTGTTCCGCAATGATAGCAAAAAGATTTTACAAAATTATTTATACATTTAAATTTCAAAGCATCTTACCACGTATATTTAAGAACCAAAAGAAATGAAATGAACATTTTTTTATTTTTCCACCTTCTAAAAAAATAAAAAAAAATAATCAGAGAGACTTTTTCGTATTTAAACATGGAAAAGAACGAGTTACGAAAAAACGATCCTTTATTCATAATTATAATTTAATATAAAAAAAAGGTAAACGAGTATGAGAAAAAATCACCGGTAGTTTCGTAAATGTGAAACAGATTGCTTGCGTGGTAGTTTCGGAAGAAAAGGGAAGTTAAGAAAAAGGGTTTAAGGTGAATAAACGAATGATGAGCCAAAAAATACAGTCAATGTAAAACAAAAAAGAAAAAAAGAAAAGAAAAAAATCAATTAAACAATAAGTTACACAATAAAAAAAAGAATAAAAATAAAAATAATTAAGGAAATATTAAAAGATTGTACAAAACGAAAAAACTAAGATAGAGAGAGAGAGAGAGAGAGAGAGAGAGAGAGAGAGAGAGAGAGANGAGAGAGAGAGAGAGAGAGAGAGAGAGAGAGAAGGAAAAGTAATATTTAAAAAGAGATAGTGAGACAAATTTACAGTAAAATTTCATTAAAAGTAAGGACAAAGATTAGACGTGACGAGGGAAGAAAAATTTCAACCTAGGAAAAAGAGAAAGATAGAAAGATTCACCAAAAAATAAAATAAAAAAACAAAAAATAAACGTAAAATGAGTGGAATGAAAAAAACAAAAGGAGAAATAGAAAAGAAGGGTAAATTAAAAACTAAATTAAGCAAAAAATGAAGTAGAAAAATAGTAAAATTAAGGGAAGGAATTAAAAAAAAGAAAAAAAGAAAAGAAGAATGAAAATACGATAAAACAAAAGTAGTGAAAAGTGAATAAAATTGAATGAAAGGAAGAAGGGATGACAGAGAAAAAGAAAGATGCGAGTGTAAAAGAGGAGTGGGGAGAAGATGGTGAGGGAGTTGTTAGAAAGTAAAATTTCGAAAGAGACGAATGATTAGAGTGTAATGGTAAGAAAGAGAAAGAGAGAGAGATATATATATAGTGAGAAACAGAGTGAGATGGGAAAAGCGCGCGCGCGCATACACACGCATACGTAAGGGTGGCGTGTGGGCACAGAATACACTTATAAAAGGGTGGCGTCGCGACGCCGACGTCGTCATTTCATTCCCGCGTAGAGACAGTACGCTCGCGTTGTGCTTCTATTCAACTTCGAGAAGATCCAACCTTTTTTTTTCTCTGTTGAGGTACGAACTAACAGAAAATACATCACAAAAAAGGGTTCGAGAAAAAAAAAGAAAAGAAAAGGTCATTAAAAAAAATATAAATATATATATATAGGAAAAATTCAAACCCTTTTCCCCCGGATGCCAAGATCATCTCGCATTACATCGAATTGTGTCGCGAAAAGTTTAATTACTTTTTATATAATAATTTTTTTCTATTTTTTTTTCTTTTTTTTCTATTTTTTTTCTATTTTATTATTCTTATTCTCTCCCCTTTCCCTGCAGGCAATCTTGGAATTTTTATTTTTTTTTATATTATTTTATTATTTTTAATATTTTTATAATATTTTTATATATATATTTAATATTAATTTTAATATTTTTATTTTTTTATTTTTTTATTCGTTTATTTTAAATTTAAATAATAATAAAAGTATATATGTATATGTATATGTATATATATAAATTTTGGATAAGTGTGTAAAAAGTTTGAATCTCACCTTTTTTTTATCTATGGTTACTTATCTATCTATCCATCTATCTTTATCTATTTTTATTTTGTCGGTGGTGGTACTAACAGCTAAACGTGCACCTGTCCAATTCCCAGCGTCAAGTTTTCTTCCAGCAACAGGTGAGCAGATTCCAATAGCTACTCTCGGGTTTGTCTGTTCTTCTTCTTGCTTTCTTTCTTTTTTTTTCCTTTTTTTGTTCTTTTTTTTATTTCTTTCTTTTGTCAGAAGAACTTCTTCTTTTCCTTTTTTTTTTCTTTCATTTTTTCAAACGACAGATGAAAGAGTTTTGTTGATTCTAACAGTAATCCTTTGATACATGACTTTTCAAATGTTTCGTTTAATTTTAAGTCAATCAAATTGTAATTTACCACCCGCCATTCCGTCTAACATTTTCTTTTTAATTTTTCATCTTTTCAAAGAATAGACGAAAGAGTTTTGTTGATTTAAACAGTAATCCTTTGTTACATGAGTTTTCAATATTTCGTCTAAGTCAATCAAATTATAAATTACCGCCCTCAACGTTTCTAATAAGAAACATAAAGTTTTATAGAAAGATACATTAAAATCGATCAATACTTGTTAAAGTTAAACGCTCGAGAAAGATTAATAATAATTTTCTTATATAATAGTTCGTTTTTTTATGACAATAATTATTTTTTACTATACACTACACTTTCATCCTGTCCTTCAACCCCTACGAATGTAAAATTTAACATTATTTTAATTAAACAATTCTTAATTATATTTTGACAAATCAAATAATGGAAATGTTGAAAGAAAGTAACATTTTAAATTTCAATAAATAAATTTGAATAATACCGTAGTTAAGATAATAAAATAATTCTAAGTTAAAAGGAAAATATATAAAACAATTTATCATATGATTTATTTTCATAAATACAAATCATTCAAATCTAATAATAAATTTTAAGATTAATTGTCTTTTTCTTTATTGTTCTAACTTTTTGATTTATCATTTAATCCACCAGTCACAATTATCGATAAAATATTTAAACGAAAATATATACAAAATGTATTTACTTTTTTAACAAAAGTTTACCTTAAATTTTCTGAAAAGAAAGTTTCGTGACCGTCGATAAAAATTTTCACGTCAAAAGTAAAATATAATTTAAAATAATTTGAATTATCCTCTCGAATAAAATAATAACAATAATAATAATAATAATTTAAGAAATATTCTTGCGTATAATTTTCTATTAAAAAAAATTATTAAATTAAATCGTAATGAGAAAAAGGAGGAATTTTTTGTATTAATCTCGCGTAATATTTAGTTAAACTTACCAAACTAATTAAACAAGTTATATCTGATTTACTCAAATTCGTATTAGGATTCTAACATAATTCAAGTGTGTCACGTATTCCAACTACCGAACGTTCTTATTAGAGAAACACGGCAGCAACAGGTGAACACTTTATGATTATACTCCAGTAAAAATATTTGTATCTTGATAGCTTTACGTAGCTAAGTACTTTGTGAAATAATTTCAATGAAACTATTCTCCCCTTTTTTTATGAAAACATTTATTATTATTATTTTTTTATTATACCCTTTTTTACGTGATACGTTTCTATTATTAATTATTTTTTTATCTCTTCGATTTCTATTATGAATTTTTCTTTTACAGAAAAATCATTGTTAAATTGCACGAACGTTTATGTTTATTTTTTTTTTAATTTATTATTGATTATATCGATATCATTTATATCGCAATTTTTAAAGAATTATATCATCTTTTATTGGATATAAAAATAATGGGACTTAAGTATAATGAATTGAAAAAAAAAAAGAAAAAAAAAGAAATAATGATGAAAAAATTGATGTTTTTAAATATTTATTACAGAATAATTTGTTATACCTTAAGCATCCTACGTTAATTCTTCGTTGTATCATCTTTTATGACAATATTTCCATTTAAAATACATACCTTGTTAAGAAAGTTATAAAGTTACAAAAGGGTATTCCCATAGACTCTCATAAAAGGAACAGCTTCATAAGTGGTAGCTTAATAATCGCTCTTGACTGGTATTATTGCCTGCTTTCTTCGTATAGGGAGTGTAGTCCGAGATATTTCTATCAAAAAAGAGAAAACGAGTAGGTGTTTTGTAAAAAGAGTAATTAAAAAAAAAAAATTATGAATCAAAAAAGAAGATGAAGAAGAAGGATTATTAAAATTTATCGATTAATTATACGAAGCTATGATTCTGAAAGTGAAACAAAATTTTTCGAAATGATTTTCTTCAAAATTAACTCCCCTTTTTTTTTTATTATTTGAGTTTAAATATAAATTTGATAGAAAAAATCAAATTCTTATAGTGATAATTAGGATTCTATATGTTATATAGAATATGTATTGTAATATTACTATATACAGTAATTATATATTATTTATTACTATATATTATGTTACATATATTATTATGTAGTATAGTATATTTTATATATATTATAATATATATTATTATTAGTAATAATATAATTTAATAATATATATTCATATAATTTAATTTATTGTATATATTTATTACATATATTATATACAATAAAAAAGATTATTACTTTTATTATATATATTATATTAATAATAAAATTATTACTAATAATATATTATTAATACTATACTATACATATATAATAATAATATATTTATATTATAATATAATATATATTATTTCATATATATTATATATACAATATATTACTATATAGTAGTAATATATAAGTAGTATTCGTTGTTGAAGAAAAATAAAATATATATTTAAAATATATTAACATAGTTTTGATAAATATTTTCAGAGAAATTTGTGAAACGTGTCTTCAACGTTCATTCGTTGGTTTAAGTTTTCGCGAAACATTTGCTACGTGTAAATTCAACTCGTGTTTCTAATGTCGTCAAGTCATTAGTAAGCTATTCTTGAAACGACATATTTCAAAATGTGTTTTTTTTTTCAAAATGAAATTTTCTTCATAAGTAAAATTGTCATCATCATTGTCACTCATGCTATTTTTAATAATACAATAAACAACGATCTTTCATTATTATAAAAAAAATGAAATTCAATAAACGTTATAGATTGAAAATAATGTTTGTTGAAATTTGTTATAGTATCATTTGTTGATTAATCGATAATACGAAATGACCAAGGAATAATAATATTATACGAGAATATTGTTAATGTGAAACTAATGTAAAATGAAACGAAAATGCTATTACTAGCAAATACCTCAGTTTATCCGCTATATTTTCATATTAGTGATCGTATTGTTAATTTATTTTGACTTTTGAGAGTATAAATATTAATTATTACTAACTCTTGTCTTGTATTTATTTATTTCTTGTTTCGTTTTAATGAAATTTATTGTTGTCCATTAAAAAATATTAAAACGGGTGTATAGGTTGCTTTTTTATATTAGAAAAATATTAAATGTTCTAATTAATATTAAATAAATAAATTTGCATGTATTATACAAAAATTATTTGATTTTTGGTAATATTTTAAATACCTTAAACAAAATTATATATAAATTTATTAAATTATATAACATTTATTAAATTATATGTATATATATTTAAATACCATAAAAAATTATATATATATTTATAATATTTATATAATAATCTTTTATAATTATTTTTATTATTAATATTTTATTTATTATTATTTTATTCTTATTATATATAATATGACACCTATTTAATTAATACTTATTTTAAGAAATTATTATTAAATTAAAATGTTTTTGTGTCAAATTTGTTATTTTCATTATTTTATTATTTTAACACTGTCTTTTATAATAGTTGTTGTATAATTTATGTTAATTTTGATACTATTATATATTTTTTTTTTAATAAAAGAAAAATGTTACAGAATATTAGCTGTTACTTATTCATTTGCTAACATTTAATTTGAAACGAGGAATTAGGAATTTTCAATTAAATAACGAGTCAAGTTCATTTTAAAACTCGCGGTTTACTATTAACCACGCAAACGAGGAGTACAAGAAGGGGAGATCTTCTTTTAATTAAATCCATGAACCTATATGAAACATTTTCGTAAATTTTCTGTTATAAAAGGCTTGAAATTAATTATGAAGCGAAACATTTTTGTGTGCAATATAAATATTAATAATTAATTAAACAACGAGTGAATCCTCTTGTATTATTGTTGAACAAAAAAATATATTACAAATTTTATTTCTCAATTTATTCTGCATTTTCATGACGTTTGGACATAATATTTCAAATCTTTCATATACGTATCGTTTAATTTTATTTTGTTAATTAAATCAAGTTATAGTTATGAATAATTTTTATTGTCTGTTTTATTTTTTTATTCCTTTTATTTTTATTTTTAAGCATCTCAATGAATTCACATTTCATTAACTTATTTATTAAAAATGTTTTATTTAAAAAAATGAAATAATAATAATAATAATAATAATAATAAAAAATAAAATAAAAGATGATAAAAGTGAAAACATTGTAAGATTACAAATAATTTTTAATAAAAGAGTAATTTGTTAAGAAATTTTGTTTAAAGCAATGTAATGATCGATATAATTAAAATCTAACTAATGTTAGCTTTTTAAAGACAATCATATTTGTTGTATTATATATATTTTAACAAGACGTAAACGAGAGATTATTTTGCGTATAAAGACAAGAAAACAAGATGGGTAAACATAAACGCATTAAGGGGATGTATTAACAAGGTTTCATTTCACACCAGAAGAGAGATGCTTCCGCATCTCGAAAGAGGAATATCGATTTGACGTTAATCTCATTTCCGTGACTACGGAAGTATTTACTATCAAACACACACATATAAATATATATATATATATATATATATATATAACCACTTTGTCATCATCTTTCAATAAAATCAACTATAAAAACAATGTTGTAATCTGGAATTTTTCACGAGTCATTTCGAATATTTGTAGAATAAAAAAAAAAGAAACAATACTTTAATTGTTAAAAAAAAATTGATTTAACATTATTATATAAATAAATAAAATAATAATTTAAACAATGTTCAATGTAATGGAAAATTTAAAAATTATTATTTGTGTTTTTTAAATTTATTATTTATTTTA